TGCTGGAGCGTGTCCAGAGAAGGGCAACGAGGCTGGTGAGGGGTCTGGAGAACAAGTCTGATGAGGAGCGGCTGAGGGAACTGGGGTTGTTTAGCCTGGAGAAGAGGAGGCTGAGGGGAGACCTCATCGCTCTGTACAACTACCTGAAAGGAGGTTGTAGTGAGGTGGGTGTTGGTCTCTTCTCCCAAGTAACTAGCGATAGGACGAGAGGAAACGGCCTCAAGTTGCGCCGGGGAGGTTTAGATTGGGCATGAGGAAAAATTTCTTTACTGAAAGAGTGGTTAAACATTGGAAGAGGCTGCCCAGGGAAGTGGTTGAGTCACCATCCCTTGAAGTATTTAAAAGACGGGTAGATGAGGCGCTTAGGGACATGGTTTAGTGGGCATGGTGGTGTTGGGTTGATGGTTGGACTCAATGATCTTAGAGGTCTTTTCCAACCTTAATGATTCTGTGATCTCAAAAGAGTTTTGTGGCTCTTCATGAAATTGTACAAGTGTGTTCTTATGTCACCAGTAGACCCCTTCTCCCTTGACTGCCTTGATGTTTGCAAAATGCAAGCCTTTAAAGTTCTTTTTCATCAGTTTCATATAGCTTTCCTTGAGATGCAGTTAAAATTGGAGCATTTCAGTTGAATGTGTTTTGATTTATTGCAACAATGGGTAATCTTAGCTGGAGGCTTTTGAGAATTCCAATAGTGTTAGTGCTAAATTTACTTAATTGCATTGCAAGATTTGGGGTTTGGGGAGTTTGTTTTGCTTGCTTGTTAAAAGCTTAGAGTTCTGTTCTTCAACATATAGTTTCACATTTGTAAAAATATACTCAGCTTCTGGGATGAGGTGAGTTAATAGTTTCAGGAAGGTTATCAGGAGGTAAAAAAGAATGTATTGTTCCTTTGAGTACATACAATTTGGGACAGAGTGGTTATGTAACTTTCTACTTGTCAGAGGTAAAGAAAGTTGCAAAGGGATGGAGAACCACTAACACAGAGGTGATCATTCTGGGAGTTGCACAACTGATCAGTGCCTGCTTGCAACAATTCACATTTTACATGGGAAAATGCACTCACTGCTTCTTAAAGCAGCTATGTTTTCATTAATACTGTAATGTTGTATGAGGTACCTAGGAAAGAATCACTTTTGTGTTGAATTTTGAAACCTTTCAGGAGGTGGTTTTCTGTGCAAAATGATGTTCATATTTGGCACCAAAGCCCCAGCGTATGGGAGTGGCTTCATCGGTGGTGGTACAATTTTGGGAGCTCCCAGTCTCTTTTCTTTTGTCTTCTGTTGGAATTGCCCAAGAGAGAAAGTAACTTCAGATATATAACACTGGTAACTTCATTGTTTGTAGCAGTACAATAATTTTCTTATTGGCTCCCAAATGTCTTCATTCAAGAATAACTTCTAAATCGCTAAATTTCTAAAATATTTACTCAAACTGGAGGTGTTATGAAATTTACCTGATGACCCTTCTATTAAACCTGTTGTGCTCTGAACTTTGACTTATGTACAAGATGGGTATTTTTTATTAACTTGTCTGAAATGACACATTCTTATTTTGCATCCTGTGTAAACAACATAGTAAAGTGTGTGTTGACATTCTTAAGTTACCATGCTGAATAACTGTCAGCTTGTTGGAAAAAGTAACATTTTAATGTAAACACTGGATAAACTTGAGTTCATTTTCAAATTGTGTGTGTGTGTATATATTAAAAAAATATATAATCAATAATGGTGAAACTTCACCTTCTTTGAGTGTTTAAATGTGATGCAATGTTTTTGAATCAGCAAAAGCTGATTAGGCTGACTGTCTTCCTGTTTAAGTGGATTGCACTATTTTCCTCCTGGAATTTACAGGCCATTGTAAATATACCTTCAGTAAATTTTTTTTATGGACATAAACATTATGTGTGTGATTGCATATATAAGATAAAAGTAATATTATGCAGTGCAGTATAACATTGAAGTGTTATAATACATGAATGGCGATAGGTTATTCTAAAATTTACAGAAGTCTGTGGTAGATTTCTGCCATCATGTACTGTTGTCTTGTCCAGAGCCTAAATGTTTACATTAAGCATATAAAGCTTTATTTTCTTAAAAAGAAACACTTTTCCATCTCATACTAAAGTAATGCTGCTTTATTTAATTTTTAGTTTGGTAGCATTGTTTGAGAAACTTCTTTCAGATAAATTATTCTCAAAATGATACATGCTTATTTTTTGGTGTATGGGCATTTAGCAAGACCAGGACTTGCTACATGAGGTCTGACAGTGATTCTTTGCTATCATAGTAAGTAATGAAATACGGCTTTCGCAGTAACTAGAAAGGAGGAGGATGAATTTTATTCTTGCTGCAAAGCCAGCTCTAGTATTAATTCTCCCTATCACTTGCTGTGCAAGGAGCAGAGTCTGTTTCAGGGCTTATCAACTACCTCACTGTGGCTGAATAGTTGTTCGCACAAACAGCCCCTACTGTCTTTACATTAAACATAAATTGTGAAGGAGTTCTTCATCATAGCCCTTGACGTTTTTTTAATCCCCTTAATGAAACACTCGTGTAGTTGCTCTTCTGTGGCCTCACTGATGGTGGGGGAAAAAGACATAGGTGTATAGTATCTGAGACTGTGTTTCTTCAGGGCTTGAGGAGGAAGCTACTTGAGTGGAAGAGAGGTTACTAGTGCCTGTGCTGAAGGAGGTTCAGCCTTGCTCTGCGTAGCCCCTGTGGCCACTCAGAGGTGACAGCCAGGGGACCAGTCAGCAGATGAGTAGTCCTTGACTAGCCACAACTGATCAGTCATGTAATTGCTGGTGAAAGAAAAGTATAGAAAAATATATATATGAGGGGTATAGTAGGACACCTCAGGATGTGCATTTGAAGATGGAAATAGAAAAATGGGAACAATGGAAGGCTTTATGGTAGAGGACACTCGGGACATAGAAGGAGGGAGTGGGAACTAGATGAAGTGGGCTAAGGGGGGGTGTAGGGAGAGCTAAAGGAATCACACCTAAAACCTGGGCATGTAGGGCAGGACCAGAAGGCATTGTGTTAGGTTTGGAAATGAGATGGGGTTGGGGAGGAGGAGGAACACAAATAGTATTGCAGTGAAGAGAGAAAGAAACAAGACAAGGTTCTATTACCTATTGCCGAAGCTCACTTTCTGTTGAAAAACTTTACCTGATCTCTAGCCTTCCACATTTAATTACCTTGGAAGACCATAGATATCTTTTGTGACAGATTGAAGTCCCTGTGTAGAAGACACTGTTTTCCAGATCATTTTCTGGTATTCTAAAATTTCAGATCAAAAATGCTGCTTTTTGCATTTTCCATTATATCATGAAATATGCTTGTACAACATTGTGGATTTTGCTATTGATGCATGTGTCATTGAAATGCTGTATTTATTCTGGTAGTTACAAAGACATTTTGTCAATCTGTTTTTATTCATCTGAACATACTGGCTATTGAGTTCATATTGTTTTGGTAGGATTTTAGTATTTACAGATGGTTAATTATTTAAATTGAAACATAATCGGAAAATATGTTCTCCACAACTAATTAATAAAATGCAAAATGAATTCTTTTAATTAAGATTACTGTTGATGAAGTTGATTGCCTCTTAAAACCATAATCCTAAATTATTATTTTATACTACTGTAAGTCTGATATGCCTGATTTTTTTTAATACCTTTGCTATGTAGAAAATTTGCACAGCAGGTATGTTCCTTTTTTTTTTTTCCTTCTCCCCCCTCCCCCAGCTGTGTCATCTTCAAACTTTTTCTCTTGTCTTGGGTTGTTTGAATTTCATCTTGCACTTTTTTAATGTCTTTTCCTTCTTTATGGTGGGAGGGGAGAAAGAGAACAGGTAGAAGCTACGTTTTCTTTGCTTTTGGAGCTAAATCTAATGACAGCTGTACCCACAATTCTCTTCTGTGTTTACATGCAGCCAGGAGCTATGGGCGGAGAAGAGGTAAAAGTATTTACTAAATGTTTTGTTTGCTGAATAGTGGGAGAAGTAAATATTTAGTTCTCTTACTGTAAGATGATAAGATGTTACCAATTTTAACATTATTTGATTGATCAATTGCTTCATATAAATCAATCTCATATTCTTCATTTGCAAAACATCTCCCTTTTAATAGCAGCTTAAAGCAATGGTGATCTTGAGCTGATAACTTAGTGTGTTGCTATTACTAGTGAACTGGAGGATGACTGATTTTAAGGACTCTTTCATGACACATATTTATGACTTTAAATGCGTAATGTTCCAAAAAAAAGATTGTTTTCAGGTTTGGTTTTTTTTTGGTAGAACTGCAATGTTTAACTAGTACATTGAACATTTCAAAAATACTTTTTTCTTAGATGAAACACCTTTCATTGAATATTATGCTTGAGTATTACACTGGATTGCCTTAGATAGAACATTGTAAATACCAATACTAGTAACTGTCCTCAACAGTGAATATTGATGATGATAATAATAATAATAATAATAAAAGATACAACATTTGATCACATTTTAACCTTATTTCATCATAGGCAACCCTTAAAAAAAGCAGACTGAAAACATTTTCCAAATGGACAGTGCTGCATATAATTTTATTCTGAGAGATTAATTAACATGGACAATAGCAAGCTCGCTGACTACCAAGAAAGCTACTAATGTACCTTATATTTATGTACTGTGCTGTAGCTTAAACAGACTGGCTTTTATTGAGAAAATAACAGTGAAGATTGCAGCTTTTAACAATTAGAGTTGGGCAGTGCCATCTGCTTGGGGTGCTTTGGCATTAAACTTCATTTATTTTCTTTTTCATCTATGTTCTGTGACAGCTGTGCATGTGACACTGCTTCCTTTTCAAAATGTAGAATTTGCATCACGTTTGTGAAGAAGCTTGGAGACAAACCTAGCCACACAAGCAAGCCGATAGTGTATAAGTAACTTGTAATTTGTACATATGTATGGATTGAGGTAGTAGGCTGTACGGGCTGTGCTAACATAGTTAGAATTTGAGCTGATTTTGTTCAAAGCTGACTGGTTTTAGTGTTTATTTGATAGCTAAAACAAAAAGAAAAGATTAAAGTTTTCCGCACAAACTTACCCTCCTATTTTTACCTGCTTCCAGAGAACAGGCTATTGTTAACAGATGTTGAAAGCATCCTAATACTTATACTTTTTCAGTGCTCTCATGGTACTGAAACAAATTGGAAGTATGCGGAGTATATAATATTGTATACTCTCTGTGCATCTGAACACTGTTTTAATTTCATTTTAAGATTGTGGCAAGTGTTTCCAGGTTGATCAAATGGCACCAAAGTAGGGAAGGAGGTGGGAATCAGTTGGACACGATTAACTTCTTGCAACTCATATTTACTTGCAGAAGCGAAATATAGTAATGTGGCAGTAATTGTGATGAACACCCTTTAGGCTGTTTTATACAAATTGTAGTGATGACAAAACAGGGCAAACAAGTTCTGAATGTGCCGGACTTTCAGAATTCTTTTTACTCTACCAAAAAACATGTTTCACTCCATAATAATGGTTTCCTATGTGAAATTCAGGCTTTTCTATAGTAACAAGTAGATTTGTGTGTGTGTGCGTGTGTCTTGTCATTAATGTTAGGGATTTTGTGACTTGCCTTATTCGTACAATATTAAAGTTTGTGATATTCATGCTTTTTCATTACCTTGAGTTTTATAATGTTGTTTTGAGCTTTCTTAACCTTAAGAAACATGAAAATCTACAATAGTCTGTTAAAAAAATGATGTGTTGTTTGTCAAATGTTCTCATATATCCCTCTCTATTATTGTTTTTACTGTTTGCATTGTGATAATATGCAGAGTACCCAGAGGCGAATCTGTGCAGGGACTCATTTCATGTTTATTATACTTGGATTTGTTTGATTCTGTCACTGTGACTAAGCATCTTCAGTGAGAAGAGGTTTTGTCAAAAATTTCTTGGGGCTTGCCATAACCTATCAGTTCTCTACTTGATCTTCTGTTTTTTTTCTGAGAGTCAAGCATTTCTTTGTAGGTATCATGCTTAGAGCTGTTGAGTCATGTTCTTTTAGGTACCTTGTTTTAACTTTTACAACCAGTTTTTCAGGTACAGATGTAAGCACAGCTATGGGAAGTCAGCCCAAAATCTCTTCTGCTACACTGACAACTCAGAGATGCCAGGGGAGGGGTGCAGGAGTATAAAAATAGGGCATTTAGTGATGCTTTCCCATAATACTGTCACAGAGATTTGCCTCGGGGGGTTTCTTGAGGTGATGTCTCAATATTTATTGCTTCAGAATGGGTTTTTCTCCTGTTCTTGCTTGTTCCCTTTTCTGAACCTACATAAACTTTTCGGCCACCTAAAAAGCCTGTGGCAAGGGGTTCCACAGCTTGACTTGCTTTCAGCCTTGCCATGTACTGATTGTGTTCAATGCACTTTAGTTTTCCCTTACTGGAAGAGACAGTGAATGACAGAATCATTCTCTATTCCCTTGTCTGTATGCTTTCCATTATTTTAAATGTATACTTCGTACATTGAACTCTATACTTGACTTAACTATAAAGTTTCAGATCATCTTCTGCATTTACTTAAGATGAGTACAATGCTTCCAGACTGTCAAGCATCTGGCATAAGAGGTGATATCTTGCTTTTTAAGCTGCTGTCCATTTTTATTATTTCCTTCAGAACTCAGCACTTACTCAGCTTTGTCTGTAGACCTGTATTTTAGTTGAACACCTCGTTCTAGTATCTGTTAATTTGTCAACTTCCACTAATGGCTCATGTTCGTTGGTTTTTTCATTTTTTACAAAAAAGTAGGTTGGGGGGTGGAAATTAAAAGATTATTTTGCTTCTTAGTAATGTCAATCTCTTATGGATATTCTCAAATTTCCTACTTTTCAATGGGTTTTCTGATTTGATATTTTTACACAATTTTAGTCTTCCTAATTATTATTTCTCTCATGCATGTATTCTCTTTCATGCTGAAATGCATATGTTTATATATGTGCATGACCTGTTTATCCATTAACGGAATATTCATCAATAGTCTTTCCTGTTTTATGCTCTAAACCCACCATTTCTGACAACCAGTTACACTAGGCTTTGAAGAGTAGCATCTCTAAATCCTCCTCTGATTGTGGCATTTACCCTGTTTTTTAAAAGCACAGTAGGATTTTTGCATCAGTGGATTTTTGCATCTGTGATCTCTGTCAATGTTGTGCATTCAATATATTCTTTCTAATCAAGACTTTTCTAGTACCTGGCGTTCATAAAAAATCAGGCTGGTGTTCTGTGTCAGTCAGAGCATCTTTCCTGGTTTTTGTTTGTTAGCTTGTTTTCCATATGTGGGATTGCTGCTTCTTTTTGTAATCTGTCCTTTACTACTGGAGACTCAGACTATTACTGATATTTTCAATGTATACATTTTTCTGACTACTGTCCCTCTGCATGCCTTGATTTTTCTCCTTGCCCCTGTTTTATTTCCTGTACTTCCTTGTGCTGTTAATACCAGTATGGTATTAATTCTTCCTTAGGTCTTGCTGGAAGTCAGTTTCATGTGATCCATTACCTTTGAATTTAATTATGTGCCCTGCTACTTATATTTGTTATTAACCCCCCTATAAACTGTTTGTATCAATTAATTCTAATTCCATCCCTGGGAGCAATCCTCCATGATATGAGGGGACAATTAGCTTTTTCAGAGTTGAGATGGGGTTCCCATTTAAACATCTCTACATTGCAGGATTTATTTTTCAACTCAGGTATAGGGAATTATTAAATTCTAAAGTTGGTATGTTCTACAGTGCTGCTTACGTACAGACTTTGAATATTTCTTTATCTTCTGGGTTAATAAATCTGTTCTTAAGATAATGTGTGTATACTTTGGCAGTAATAGCAACAGGTTAATTGCATCAGATGATCACAGATAAATTCTTTACTTGCCATTAACAAACTGAATAGCAGCCATTTATGTTTTTTTTTGTTAATTCATT